GCCGTCACTAAACGCCTGTCCACTAAACAGTCTACTAATGCCTGTATTGCATTAACAGATAACAATGTTGCAGTTGATTGGGAACCGGTCGCTGCAAACGCCGCTCATAATCGGCATAATAATGCAATTGTCTCAACAACTCTCAGGAATTAACGCCATTTTCTACTACTCGACGAATATATTCACTTCGGCCGGACTTAACGAAGAAATGGCCAAATACTCGACTATAGGCGTCGGTGTCGTTATGGTGGCCATGACTCTCGTCTCCATTATGCTTATGGATAGGACCGGACGCAGGACTTTACATCTCTATGGATTGGGTCAGTCATGCCATTAATCAACGGATTAACACATTTCACAAACTATTAATGTATGAATCTTGTCACCCTTCAGGAGGAATGTTCATAACGTCTATGTTTTTGACTATTTTTCTTCTATTTGGGGTAAATATGAAAACCATTGCTCAGTTTCAATGCGCTCGCAATTATTGTTTGTCTTTGGATTAGTTTTTATACACATGGATGGCATATATGAGTGTATTTAGCACTTTGATATATGTCGTTTTCTTCGCCATCGGCCCCGGTATGCAAACCATTTGTCACCTATTATTAGGATTGTATGCCTTTTTTGTGAATTCAATGAGTGATCAATCATTTGTTAGGTTCGATCCCATGGATGATCACCGCGGAGTTGTTCTCACAGGGACCCCGACCCGCCGCCATGAGTATCGCTGTATTAGTCAATTGGTTCACTAATTTTATGGTTGGGTTAGCCTTTCCTTTGATGACAGCGTATAATGAGGTGAAGCCAGTGATTGATCTCAAGAGTAATCTGCGAAATAAATCTAAATGTAATCCATTTGTGGGACATTTTATTTGCAGAACGCCATCGAGAAGTACTCATTCTTACCATTCACTGTATTTTTGGCCATATTTTGGATCTTCACGTATTGGAAAGTTCCCGAAACCAAGAACAGGACCTTCGAGGAGATATCGGCGCTCTTC